GAGGCCCAATAGCTCCTGGGTCCCTCTGAAACTCATTTAGGTATCACTCAACTTCCTAAGGTTCCATGTAGAATGAGTAACATCTGACAACAACTTCTTTCCAGTTCACTTGCTCATTGCCAAGGCCGACTAGTCACTTCTGGACTAACTACATGCAAGAGGAAAAAGAGATAAAGATGGAAAAACAAGTTTCAATTAATATAAAATGCTTCTGCAGAAGCTGGAGGATGAGCATCATAAGAAAATTCATTCAGGGCCTGGCACAGTGGCTCACGCTTGTAATCCCAGCACTTTGAGAGGCTGATGTGGGCAGATCACCTGAGGTCAGGAGTTCAAGAGCAGCCTGGCCAACATGGCAAAATCCTGTCTCTACTAAAACTACAAAATTAGCTGGATGTGGTGGCACATGCCTGTAATCCCAGCTGCTCGGGACCCTGAGGCAAGAGAATTGCTTGAACTCGGGAGGCAGAGGTTGTGGTGACCAAGATCATGACATTGCACTCCAGCCTGGGCAACAAGAGCGAAACTTCATCTCAAAAAGAATTTAGAAGAAGAAAGAAAATTCTTTCAGGATGATCATTGTGGATGAGAATTAGGTGATTAGGGCTGCAGAGACCAGTGAGATTTTTTTAAAGTTGTTCTGGCATGAGGATTCAAATACGGAAGATACATGTAGCAGAAAAGGAAAGGTAGACTTGAGACCGGAAAAAAAAAATCCCTATATTTAAAGAGTGTTTTAGAAAAGCAAAAATAATATCAGTTTGAACCCAGCACATCAGCTGAACAAAAAGGAAATAAAACAGTAACATTTATTTGGTCCTGAGTCTAATTAGAGCCAGAAAATCCTTAGGTACTCCCTAGTTAGTATCCAGCCAAAACAATAAGAATCAGAAAATCAAATAAGAATGCAGTTGATTCAACACACAAATTGAGCATGTCAACAAAAGCCATCTCTTTGAACAAATTTCTCATATTTATGCTTTATACCAATTGATTCCCCACACCCAAACAAAGTCACAGCTACAAGGAGACGAACTAAAGCTAACTTCAAGAGAGCCTTCATAATACCAAATCCAAAGCAACCACCTCTCAGGATGCAGACCACAAAATGAAGCCCAATCGGCTGCCTCACGTGATTTTATACCGTACAATGAACTCAGGTGTTGCATATGCACACTTCCTAAGGCCTGACCATGTACTCAGCCCAATTTTCTATAAATCCTAGCCTTCCCTGAGTACCTGGGCTCTAAAGTTCAAGAGAGTAGGTAAAGATGAAAATTATTGTACCTAGAGATCTATCTCTTTTTTTAGGTCTATGGTAGTGACAGAAAAGCAAATGTGTATAATGTCATGCCATTTTTTTTTTTTTATTTTAGGATCTGTTATAGTGGGGGTAATCTGAGCAGCACAAGGAGACCCTACCTGACTTACTGATGTGCCTGAACCTTTTACCCACCTTTTTTTATATTCAGCATTTCAGCAATCCATCTTACAATGTACACTATTGGAGCAGTTCAGCAATCCCTCTACCTGTACATTAGTGTGGATTTTTTGTAATTTAATAATTTGTCATATATAGCTGTAGTGATTATTATAAATGTTTGGGACTTTTTACTATAATGTGATAGTAATGCAGGCAGGTTTTACTTAAGGATACAAATCCAAAGCCAAAACTTCTTAATCATTTTGTAAACATCCAGATCTCTTTTAAAAGTATTCAGAAATTCATGGTAATCTATTAAAGAAAAAAACTATTACCATGTGCAAGTACTTACCTTGTACACTAGTTTCTGTCTCCACTTTGTTCTACAATGACTTCATTCCTATTTTTCTCTTTAGTCATAGTCCTAGAAAAAGCTATTTATACTCATTCTTTTGGGTTTCTTTCTTCTCATCCTTCCTTAAACCTGATCCAACCAACTTTCACCCACACCTCTTCACCAAAACTGTCCTTTATCAAAGTCATCAGTGCCCCTCACATTGCTATAGCTAATGGTCAACGCTTAGTTCTCATCCCACTTAACTTTACAGCAACAGTTGATAAGAGTTGACAGCTCTACCTGCATGGCTCCCAGGACCACACTCTGCCCTGGTTTTACTTCCGGTTGCCCTTACTGTCTTCTCTTTGGCTCATTCAAAGGTTTTGACTTCTCTCAGCTACCTCTTAACATTGGATATCCCAAGACCCAAACCTTGGACTGATTCTTATCATTTTCCTCACTTATTTGCTTTGAACTCATGCAATCTTACTGGCTTTAAGTATTAGTATGTGCTGATGAATCCTAACATTCTACATCCAATCTGGACCTTCCCCCTCTGAAACTCCAGTCCTGTATATTCAACTACTCACTTGCTCTCTCCTCTGGGAGATCTAAGCAGCATCTTATATATGACATTTTCAAAATAAGGTTTCTGAACCAACATCTTCCACATTTTTATCCAAGATAGTAGCATCTCCCACTTTACAGTAGGTCATAAATCCTAAACTCTCCAAATTCTTCTAATGTACTTTATATCTAGCTGTCTGCAAATCCTTAGATCAATCACCTGATCTCTTCCTATGAGATCCATGCTAAAACTAACATGGTTCTTATTCTAAACCAGGATTCTCATTCTCAGTACTATTGACTTTGGGGCCAGATAACGCTTTGTCATCAGTGGGTGTCTTAGGCACTGTCAATGTTCAGCAGCATCCCTGGGCCTATACAGATGCCAGTAACACCAACACCATCACTGTGACAAACAAAGCTGCTTTCAGATACAGCCCTCAGAGGGTAAAATTGCACCTGGATAAGAACTGCTGGCCTTGTCATCATCACTACCTAATCCCTCTCCCTACTTCAGTCTTTGCTCCCTCATGGTGTTCATTCTCCATCCAGCAGACAGGGTGATCTTGATAATAAAAATCCAAGTCAGATCATGTCACTCCTCCATTTGGAACTTTCCAGGGGGGTCCCATCTTATTTCAAACTAAAGCATGTCTATCAACTTTGAGAAATTAGATGATGTCCTCTGCTCATTGTTTTAGGTGTTCAGGTTGTTTCTTGCTGGCCTTGTTCAGCAAACACTCAGTGACTTTACACCAGCTGTTCCCACAGTTTTGAATGACCTTTCCTCCAGGATCTGCAGGGCTTATTCCCTCACCTCCTCCAGCTCTTTCCTCAATCATCACCTTCGAGGGATGCCTTCCCTGATGCCATAGTTAGGACCACAACTCTCACCCCAATATTCCCTATCTTCTTTCTCTGCCTGTTTACTCTTTCTTAGAATACTATAAAGTATGTTTTCTGTGCATACTCTACCTCCTTCTACTAAAATGTGAACTCCATGGGGGCATCTTTGTGGAATAAATAAATGATTAGGCACTGTTACCAGGACCAACCACAGCTAAGCCTTAGCTAAAGGCATGAATCAGCAACTGAGAAAAGTTAGTAATTGTACCCTTAAAAACCTATTTCTAAGGAGCATTGAAGCTTACAATTATATACAAGTCAGTCTTGCAATAATTAGAAACAGATATATAATAGTACAAACTTTATTCATAAATAAAACTTCATGAGGTTAAAAGCAGGGGCAGCTCCTATTTTAAAAAGGAAATAGTAGAAGGCAGCCTGCCATTTTATTTAAAATCTCAAGTTAGGTTTTTCAGATGGATAATGGTTGAGATCATTAAATCCCCTTCCTGCTTCTCAGATTTTCACAAAATAGCACAGTAAATCCTCAGTCCTAAGAAGTCATGGCAGAGATTTCAAATTGCCTCTCAATACCAAAGTGGACAGCACTGTTTCTTCTCTTGCAATAAAGGCACTCATTTGATGAACAAGGGCATATAGCAGTCAGATTCTTACTGAAATGGAAGACAGAAAGAAAGACAAAAGAAAGATTGGAAATAATACATCCCAATGTAAACATTACTTCGTTACTTCTAAGAGCCTGTTATTCATAAGTAAAGCAATACATATGTATGGGAGTGAGGGAAAAGGTGTAAGTGGGAAGTGAGGGAGGAGAAGAAAGAGAAAGTAAATGTTCTATCCTTGAGACTGTATCCTTAAGTGTATAATGATTCAAGTGACATATATATAAGTGAATAAGGATACTTTTGCCCTCTAAGTTATAAAGTACATTCCAAACATTCTAGGTGTCCTGTTTACTCTCTATTAAACGTAGCTCCATCCTTTTATTAATACTCAAATAGTAATACATGTGGATTTTTCTTTTCTTTTTGAGACAGCCTCACTGTATTGCCCAGGCTGGAATGCAGTGGCACGATCTGGAATGCAGTGGCTCACTGCAACCTCCATCTCCTGGGTTCAGGTGATTCTCCTGCCCAGTCTCCTGAGTAGCTAGGATTACAGGTGCGTACTAACACACCCAGCTAATTTTTGTATGTTTAGTAGAGACGGGGTTTCACCATGTTGGTCAGGCTGGTCTCGAACTCCTGACCTCGTGATCCACCCATCTCGGCCTCCCAAAGTGTTGGAATTGCAGGCGTGAGCCACCACGCCCGGAAGGATTTTTCATAATATACCTTCATATGGGACTCAAGAATGAAAAACCGTAGTACAATCATTTGGTACTTCCCAGAAAAAGTTGCAACACAGGTTTTTTACACTTCTGAGCACACTTTCCCAGGGATCATCAACATATCTAAGCCACTTTGTAGGCTCAGTGTTAATAGTCATTTATTATAATTCCGAACTTTATTGATATTGAAATGGGTAGGTATTTTCCTTTTAATTATAGTATTTCATGTAATACCCAAAATGAATAGCTCTTAGTCATATGGGGTTCCCAGTTAGTAACAGATTATCAAGACCACTGTGATCAATAAAATCTTCAACAAACACAGGAAAGCATGAACTTGCGTTCTTGAACTGGGAACATTTTAGGCACAATGCACCTTAGTACAAATGTATGCCATTTCCTTCACAATTGTATTGACTGGTATCTAGGATATACCTGGACAACAATCATAAGATGCCAGTTTTGAGAGTTCTTACCAAGATTGTGTTGTAGAAGTTACTGCGCCATCTTCATTCGCAATGTGTATCCTCACATCTATCTCCCATTCGGTAACATTTTCCCCATCTCTCATTTCAACTGCATTTAAAAGAGGATTCTGACTAAAGTAAGAGAGAAATATCACATAGTGGTTAAGATCTACTCAGATCTTAGCATTTACAAGGCTGAACTTGGGGCCAAATTCCTACTATTAGTAGATACATTGATTTCTGCTTTTTCTGCCTCCCACCCCATCCCCTACCCCACAACATCACAGGCAGGGTGGTGCTAAGAAGCAAAAACTTAAAAAACAGACTTCTGGGTTCAACTTATTGATTCTACAATCTACCAGCAAATGATGTTGGCCACGTAACTGAATTTCTCTGTGTCTCAATTTTCTCACCCTGAATTTGGCATAACAGTATCCACCACCACATCTGGGGGTCTGTAGTCCTGGATACGTGGGAGGTTGAGGAGAGAGACTTCCTTAAACTCAGAAGTTCGAGATCCGCCTGAGCAAAATAACGAGGTTCCGCGACTTAAAAATAAAAAAATAAAAAATAGTATCTACCTCATTGAGTCACCAGGAGGAACAAATGCATTCATACGAGCACAGTGTAGGCATACAGTAAGTGATTCACAAATGTCAGCCACTATTATAATTATTATCTGTGGGAAGAGCACTGTGTAATATGGCTCTTCCGTAATTACTCAGGGAAAAACATTTCAGTTCAGGATTTTAACCAAAAAAACCTAATTGAAAAATTACCCAAAGTCCTGCCAAGGATATCATCACACTTTTGCTAAGACCTGATCAAAGTGGCTGTTAATCTTTTCTAAATTTTTTTTTAGTTTTAGTTTTTGTGGGTACATCGTAGGTAAATGTATTTACGGGGTATATCAGAAGTTTTGATACAGGCATGCAATATGAAATAAGCAGTTAGACTTTCTCAAAAATTTCAGTTAATAAAACAAAACAAAAAAAGACCCGATCTTAACCCACAAATCCTGTTTTAAGATGTCTCTCTCCCAACAGTGTCAGCCCTGCATAGTACACACTGATCTTAACACCTGATGAGTATCGTTTAGACATCATTATACTTTCTCTTATTGCCTTCAGGAAACTTGCATATGGGCTCAAGTTTAAAACTTAAATAAGTTGATTTGGTTGGCTAAGACCTATCAGGTTTTCAGTGACCCTGACACTTATATCAAAAACTAAGTCATCATTTCATTTTTCAATAATATTCCTAGTATTCCTATGTTCTAGGAGACAGTTGTAACAACTTTTGAATACTACAAGGACAAGTGATATGGTTTGAAATCTGTGTCCCCACCCACATCTCATGTTCATTGTAATCCCCAATATTGGAGGTGGAACCTGGTGGCAGGTGATCGGGACATGGGAGTGGACCCTTCACAAATGACTCAGCACAGCGATCTCCACACCTTTTGGCACTAGGGACCAGGTTTGCGGCAGACAATTTTTCCACAGATGGGGCGGTGATGGTTTGGGGATGAAACTGTTCACCTCAGCTCATCAGGCATTCGATTCTCAAAAGGAGTGTGCGTGCGACCTAGATCTCTCACATGTGCAGTTCACAGTAGGGTTCATGCTCCTATGAGAATCTAATGCCACCACTAATCTGAAAGGAGGTACAGCTCAGGTGGTAATGCTGGCTTGCCGCTCCCTCCTACTGTGCAGCCAGGTTCCTAAAAGACCAGGGACCACTACAGGTCCACAGCCCAGGGTTTGGGGACCTCTAGTTTAGCACCATCCCTTTGGCGCTGGTCTCATGATAGAATTCTCGGGAGATGTGGCTTTCTAAAAGTGTGTAGCATGTCCCCCCACCACTTCCTCCTGCTCTGGCCATGTGAGGATGCCTGCTCCAGCTTTGCCTTCTGTTGCCTTCCGCCATGAGTAAAAACTCCCTGAGGCCTCCCCAGCCTTGCTTCCTGTACAGCCTGCAGAACAATGAGCTAAACTTCTTTTCTTACAAATTACCCAGTCTCGGGTATTTCTTTATAGCAATGCAACAGAAGACTAAGACACCAGCAATCAAGAGATTTGTGTTCGCATTAGGGTTTGGTGTCTCCCCCACTCCCATCACAGGTTGTACCATTTAGCTTTTCAGGTTTGGGATTTTTATCTGGACAGTAAATGAAGCCAGGGGCTAGGACAGGGGTCTGGCACTCCATACTCACTTGTGGACAACACACGACAGAGGCATTTCAGATCGGACGGTAGAATCTCTTGAGATATACTTGATTTTAGTTCTAAGCAGAATAACTTCCTGGAGAGGCTACAAGACAAAGAGAGGTTTTAAACCCATGTTTGTCTCAAGTATCTCAGGAAACTTAAAGGCAATTAAATAGGAATTTATAGATACATCAAGCTTCCTAAAAATGGTCACACTCACTAAACTATAAACAGCATCTGTTCATGGGAAACAGGACCATTTTCCAAATGGACAGATGTGTTAAAATCTGGCATAGTGCTTGTACATAAAAGGCAAGCAACACTTGTTAGTTGAAAGAGAAAGGAGCTTTGTGATTCAAATTTGAGAAAGCATTTGGCACCTCTTTTTGAGACACACAGTTGTAGTGATGCATTGCTTATTCAAAGAGAGCATGGGCTTTGAAATCATAGAATCACATTTGGAATCTTGGAGCTGCCTCTACTCATTATGAATTCTTAGAAACTGTTTAAACAATTAAGTCTGTTTTTTTTAAAAAAAAAAAAAAAAAAAAAAAAAGCAATAATTGTGGTGGTAAAGAATAACAGTGATTAAGTTCTCAGCATGTAGTCAATACCTAACAGGAAGAATAACCGTTTTCAGGGGGGAATGGAGTTAACACAATTAATAGTAAAATATTTTTCTGAGAACATTTTGTATATGCTTCTCAATATAAGACCCAGTACTTGACAGCATAGGAGGAGAAGATGATTCAGAGATACCCATATTCATTACATAATTTTAAATGTTTCTATTTCCTCAGATATATCCTGCTCTCTTTGGATAATTTGAAAACATACACATAGATAATTAACATACTACCACCACTCAAATTCTTCAGTTAACATGTGAATATTCCGCCCCCCTCCCCAGTTTATATCAATGTTGACAGTCCCCACCTAATAAATGCTGTGGTGTATTAGACCTGGAATGTGCTTCCCAGATCCCCTGAAGGCTTGCTGCCCCAGTTGCTGAGCATGCTGTTACCAGATAGCCTTCAGCCTTCAGCTGTCAGCTCTCAGCCCCTCCAGGAATTGTGGAGCTGCTGAGGGCTGTCTTACCCATGGCCATACCCCTCTCCCAGGGTGGCCGCTTCAGATCACCTACCCAGCAGGAATGTGAAGCCCTGTGCAGGGTCAGCCAAAGCTGTCTTTGAGCCTCCATCACAGCTCAGCTTTGCCCTTTGCCCAATCTTCTTTCTCCAAAAGCACTTCTTAATAAATATTCTGCACACTCTACTTCAAATTTTGCTTTTGCTTTCTGTGTTACCCAATCTGTGGCATTTATCTAAACCTGATCAAGTTCTATTACTTCTCTTAGCATTTTATTTGGGATTATGAAAAAAAATAAGTAATATCATAGCAAGATTTTACTAATTTTAAAAACTTTTTAAATCAAGTCAAAATTCCAGTTATACTTTTATCAGTTATATGCACAATGACTTAGTATACCCAAAATATCTGGTGAGGAGGGGCTAGGGCTTGGAGATTAATGAATATTTACTTTGAAAAGGCTTCTAATGCTTGATTAGTGTTACTGCCTCCATCTGGTTACAACTGACCAAACTTCATGAATTGTAACAAATAATTAGTAGAGAAACTGCTGAAAAACCTTGTGATACATGGAAAATACTTCCCTCCTTCAAAACTTTCAACTCTCCAGCCTGCTTTATCACTAAATGAATAATTAGTGTTTGCAATTACCACCCAACAAGAAAAAAAAAAAGTATTTAGCATCTCTCTCTCTTCTTTTTTTTTTCCGAGACAGATTCTTATGCTGTCACCTGGGCTAGAGTGCAATAGTGGGATCTCAGCTCACTGCAACCTCCGTCTCCTGGGTTCAAGCGATTCTCCTGCCTCAGCCTCCCGAGTAGCTGGGATTACAGGCACACGCCACCATGCCTGGCTAATTTTTTGTATTTTTAGTACAGACGGGGTTTCACTATGTTGGCCAGGCTGGTCTTGAACTCCTGACCTCATGATCCACCCACCTCAGCCTCCCAAAGTGCTGAGATTACAGGCGTGAGTCACCGCACCCAGCCAACATCTCCTTTTTTAACTCTTCTGTCCTAAATGTGATAATTAAAGAGTCTAGCCATATTACAAATAGACAATGACTTCTAGTTTGGAGGTGGGTTGAAGGAACCATAAGACACTTGCGTTTTAAGTAAGATAGTCATTTCTCTTACCTGAGATATAATACCACAGTCATGAGGATGGTAGAAAAACTCATAGTAGACATCTGGCAAAGAATGAGTTACAGGGCAGCCATCTCCTAGGAATACTTCATCGGAATTCATATACACATTGTGAAATATCGTGGGTTTAACCCTGGCACAGAACCAATACTGGGTGCAGTGTACTCGAATAGCTGAAAAGCAGAAAAGAGAAACTTTCTGTTAGTATGCAGTTACATGGATCACCTCAAAAAATTTTAGCATACCCAGTCAATACAAATGAAGAGATCATCCATTACTAAAACAAAATGTCTTCAGAGGTGAACAAGTTTGCAAAATATGGTCTCTGTGTTATTACTTCAACCCCTAAAATACACGCATATATACTCATCCTTCAAATACACTCTTTAATGAATCTTTATGCAGGGGGAAGAAATCAATACAAAATAAGATTTTGTCTAACTCTCCAAGGTCACTTATCCTAGAACTAGAATCACAAGACTATATCTATAATATTTATACTAAGTATAGAGGATTTTCTGTCTCCCTTGTTCAACCAAAGCTCTTTGAAGCAAGCCCTTCCATTTTTATAGAAGCAAGCAAGTTTCCATTTTCATATCCACAGTTTCATGATATATAAAGACTTGTCCAGAAAACTCCAGCTATCAATCAGGCTTTTATAGAAATTGAGTGAAAACAGTGCTATCCTTTCTCTTCTATCTTGAAATATCTGGATATTAGGCTTTTTAAATTTGGAATTGGTAATAATTTTCTGATATAATCTGCTACTTGAGTTAGGTCCCACGGAAGAGAATTAGAACAAACTAGAAATTATGAGACTGGGTAGCATAAGTTTTTTTTGTTTGTTTGTTTGTTTTTAAGTTTGGCTATTCTTCTAGACTTCACTAAAGGGAAATTTTATCAGTTGCACTTAAGATACTAGAAGCAGCCTGAGTCAGGAGACACTGAAAACTCAGTAGAGAATCTGAAACTTTCTTCCCCTAGGCAGGAAGCGGTGGCTCATGCCTGTAATCCTAAAGCTTTGTGAATCTAAGATGGGAGGATTCCTTGAGGTCAAGAGTGGTAGACTGGCCTGGGCAACACTGCAAGTCTCTACACCACTACATCAGCTAATTTTTATATTTTTATTAAAGATGGGGTTTCACCATATTGGCCAGGCTGGTCTCAAACTCCTGGCCTCAAGTGATCTGCCCGCCATGGCAGATCACTTTTTTTTAAATTAGCAGTTCATGGCTGCAGTGAGCTATGATGGCACCACCACATTCCCACCTGAGAAAGAAAAGAGAAGCAAGTGAGAGAGAGAGAAAAGAGAAAAGGGAAGAAGAAAGAGAAAAGGGGAAAGGAGAAAAAAGAGAAAGGGAAAGGCAAGAGAAAAGAAAGAAGATGAAGGGAAAGAAAGAGGAAGAGAAAGGAAGGGAGAGAAAGGAATAGAAAGACAGAGGAAGGGAAAGAGGGAACAGGAAGAGAAAGGGAAGAGAAAGAGAAAGGGAACAGGAAGGAAAGGGAACAGGAAGAGAAGAGGAAGAGAAAAAGGAAAAGAAGAGAAAGAAGAAAAGGAATAAAGAGAAAGAGACAACAAAAGAGAAAGAGAGAAAGAGAAAGAAAAAAGAAAGGAAGAAAGATTCAGCATGGTTGCTTATGCCTGTTATACCAGCAATTTGGGAGGCTGTGGTGGGCAGATCACTTGAGGCTGGGAGTTTGAGACCAGCCTGGCCAATATGGTGAAACCCCATCTCTACTAAAAATACAAAAATTAGCTGGACATGGTGGCACACATCTGCAGTGCCAGCTACTTGGGAGGCTGAAGCACAAGAATCAGTTGAACCCAGGAGGCAGAGGCTACAGTGAGCCCAGATCGCAACACTGCACTCCAGCCTGGGTGACAGCGAGACTCCTGTCTCAAAGAAAAAGGAAGGGAAGAAGGAAGGGAAAGAAAAGAACAAGGGAGGGAGGAGGGAATGGAGGATAAAAGAAAGGAAGAGAAAAAAGAGAGGAGAGAAAGAAAGGAAGAGAGGAAGAAAAGGAGAAAGGGAAAGAGAGAAACTGACAGGCCCAGTTTATACTCAGGGCTACCAATCATTCTGGTTTACTACCAATCATTCTGACAAGAGGTTAACAGGAGGCTAACAGCAGGAAAAGTACTGGAAAAACCCGAACCAATGGTCACCTCACTTAGGAGGCACTGAGTGCTCCCTCTCAAATGAAAAGGATCGCTGGAGGATAAGGTAAAGGAAGTCTCAGCGTTTATAAGGCTTTCTTCCTGTATGTGACAAACCACAGAGTCCTGAGTTCCTCCCACCACCTCTTCTGCTTTCCAGGCCACCCCACACTCTTTATATTAAACCCAGTTCAAGTATTTGAGCCCCAAGAATTGATATGGTCAGAATAAGATCAAAAGGAAGGGAGAGTTGGAGAAAGACGGTCTCAGGTTAAAGCGCATTCTCTGCCTCGGTGCGGATATGCAAGAGAAAAACATGGTATCTCAAGATCGCACATCTAAAAGAGACTGCACCCCTCCATGTGTGCTTGACTATTATTAAGATTCAACCAGACCAAAAATTTATGTAAAGTATCCAAAGCCACATCTTTCAGCCCTCTTTAACAAACTTCTATTCCTCAAGTCATAAGTTTTACCTGAGAAGTCCCCAGCACAGGTCCATATCAAGGAATGGAGAAAAAACAGCCCTTTTAACCTCAGAATGGTCTTCATTTGCCCAGACTGAAAACCAAACCTCTCAGGAAACAGGAAGTTGGGAGAAGACAGCCTTATATGCAAAATACCTGAAGCCATACACAGGTGTGGGTCATTAACTACAATTTTGGCCAGCACACATGCCCCATGAATATAATTTTGTTTCATTTTCTAAAACGCTACACTTTTTACTCAAATGTCAAAAAACAAGAGCAAAGATAAAGCAAAATGTGCTGAGTATAACAGAAGGCTTCACTTGCTTTAGAGTCCAAAGCATCAGATATATTTTTATGCACTAAGCTTTACTTATTAAAACTTCCTATCATCCTATAACATCTGCCTCCACATCTGAACACTAAAGAAATAACTGTGATAATTTGATTGTTCCATGCATCTCAGAAGGCAAAGCCCCGAGAACATGGGAATTGAAAGATTTCACCTACTTTCACCTGTTTTCACCAACTAATCTCTAAACAGTGGCTCTCCAACTTAATAGGCATCAGAATCACCAGGAGAGCTTGTTGAAGCACAGCTGAATATCACTTAATTTTCTGATTCACTAAGACTGGACTGAGACCTGAAAATTGATGGTTCTCACAAGTTCCCAGGTGTTGCTCATTCTGACCACCCAGGGACCACACTTTGAGAATCCCTGGTCTACAGGGCTTTGCCTTCAGGGTTCACGCTGTATTGATGCCCATTAGCAGCATTGCTTGCTTCTCAAACTTTAAGGAGTATACACATCACCTGATACTCTTGTTACAATGCAGATTCTAATTCAGAATGTCTGGGGTGAGGGCTAAGATTCTGCATTTTTAACAGTAATGTTGCTCTGCAGACTACATTGTGAGTAGCAATGCCTGAAAACAGTCACACTTAGATTCTTTCCTTTAAAACGGAAGATGCCAACTTAAAAATGAGAAATTCAAAATTCTATTACCAAAAGAAGCCTAAATGAATGTTTGGTTCAAACACATTCTGATTTTTTTTCTCTAATCGCCAGTTATTAGAGTTTAGCAACTGTGTCCTCTTGTTATCATAGCCATGTACTCATAACATAGGTAGACCACCACTTGGCTCTAAGCCACTGTTGTCTGTAAAAAGTATAATTGCCCTGCTAACACTGTACATGTGCTCACGCTAGCACCCAGAGAAAGAGAGCCAAAGCTGTCCATCTTTGCAGATGGATGGAGGGAACCAGGGCACAGCTCGGCTTGCTGGTGCCCAGAGGGAGAAAGAGTTAAGGTGTTAACCCTGAAGGCAAGGGAGAGCGGACCGTGCAGCTTTGTGTGGGAGCCTCTGGACTAAGGAGCCGAGACAGCGGGGGGACAGTGTGAGAAAGCTGTTGATGAACGCTGCTGCTGAATAAAATCATCTCTCACTGCCTACAGCCCCCCTGAGTGTTCTGCGCATCCACCCACTCCCTTCAAACCTCAACATGACATTTAGCGTAGTCGTGAACCTGGCAAGCCTCCTGCAGAAGAACAAGGACCGTTTCTGCTAGCTGCTGTGGCGGCCCCAGCCTCCGACACTCCTGAGCCAGGAGCAGATCAAGCAAATTGAAAAGGATCTGAAGAAATTCTCTAAGAGCTTTGAACAGAAGGAACGTTTGAGCCAGTGCAAAATCTCAAAGGAATTGGTGGCGAGACGGCGCACCATGTTGGAACACTTCCGGAAGTACCGGAAGACAGCCAGGAGCTCTATATGGAGCGGAAAAAACGAGCACCTGGAGCTGCGAGGAGGGGGACACTGACGGGCTGGACAGCAACGTGGACGACTGGGAGGAGGAGACCATCGAGTTCTCTGTCACTGAAGAAATCATCCCCCTCGGGAATCAGGAGTGACTGGGGAGCGCTGCGTGCAGCGCCTGTGGTGTGGAGACCAGGCGCCCCGCAGGAAGCCAGCGCGACTCCCGCCACCTCCCCGTGCTCTTGCTCTGGACTGTGACCTCGACTGGGATTCTGCCATTGCGACACATTTTTGTGCCTTTCAGCCCTGGTGTCTGCAGGTGGGGCGGGGGGGAGAGGGTTAAGGCACCACTAACGCTTCTTTCTTGTTTGCGGCTTTCTGTCGGAACCACCAGCGTTGGCTTCGTAGACTCTTAGCAGCGCCGCCTGCAGGATCCCACTCGACTTCAGAAGGCCATGTAGTGCTCTGCGATGTACTCCTCAGGCCCGCCAACACCACGAACTGTCCTTGGGGACTCAAGAAGATGCCGTTTGCTTGCTGTTGGTCGAACATCTTGATGAGTTTAGTCTTCCCGTTGTTTTTGACGTGGTAGAAAAATACAGATATCCGCGGAGCCTCTCCGTGCAGCACGGCAAACTTACTTCCATTTGGTGCCCAGGCAAAAGCTATGATGGTTTCTTTCATTTCGACCACATCCACAGGTACCTGTTTTTCCCTCATTTGGAAAATTTAAAAATTTGTGACAACACCCTGGGTACCTTTCGGAGTCATGTCTACTTTCACACACA